ACGGTTATGGTGGTTGGGGTGGATATGGTGGATGGTGGGGTCGTTAAGTGTTTGCTCTCAAAAAGTAAACAAGTAAATATACAAATATATATTCTATAATTTATTTTATTAATTCAAATATTCTTTTTATTTTTCTATAGTTTGTGTATTTGGAATAATCTAATGAAAATTTTCGGGACCAACATCGTACTAACATCGGTTATGTAGATTTATTCCTATACATAATATGACGAAGTGATTCACACAATTTCTCTTTTCACCAATTGTAAATTTCCGTGAATATGTGTGCTTAAAATTCCTCACTTTTTCTGTCATTCTTTATATATATATACTATTAAATAAATTATCAATCAATATACATAAATCTATTTATTTTTTTATTATGATTTGAATAAGAAATTCAGAAAATAGAAATGAACTTGATTTAATGAACTAAATAAGAATAGTTAATAGACTATTATTAAATTGCTATGAGAATGCTTTAGAATAATTTGTAAAATAGTACAAGTAAAATCTTGCAGTTTACAAAAATAACTTTTTGATATTTATTTAAAATGATAGGAATTTTCTTTTTGTATACTTAAAAAATATTTTGTAATATGAAAACGATCTGCTAATTCTGTCTAATGTCATAAAATACATTTCTTTTTATTCATAAAAAAAATTTATTAAATTGTACTATGTACTTTTCAAGTCCAAAACACGTTTCAATATAAATTAATAAATATTTTTGATAATTCTCTTTCTATATTCGTCATATATATGTTTGTTAGATAAATAGAATAAAATGGGTAAATAAATAAACTTAAAATTGATTGTTGACGTTTTCAGCTGAATTGACTATGATTTGAACCTTGATATTTTATACATATTCAACATTTGTTGACTGTATATATCTTTTTCTTTCTTTTCTTCTCACGACAATAGTACGATAATAATAATAATGATAGGGATTTACGTCACTTGATGCATACCATTGTTATAAGAAGAAAAGATATCGAGAGTGAAGAAACGTTGAATATGTGAATGAAATAAAAGTTCTGATGATGTTGAATTCGAATGGAAACGTCAGCAATCAATTTTAAGTTTAATCATTTAAATATCTCGTTTTCAGTTTATTTATTTATCCATTTATTCTATTTATCTTAGAAACGTATATAATACATATAGAAAGAGAATTCATACTATTAATTGTCAATATTAAAGCATGTTTTTCTTTAAACGATCTCAATTATAAGAAATAATATTTTCTTCAGGTTTTTATAAAATAAAGATTTATTATTCGAATAATTTTCAGATTGTTTTATTTTATTAAATTGATTTAAGAATACTATTTAATATTTATATTTTCAAAAGTATAAAGAAGAAAAGATAAATTATTTGATTATATATTTCATTTTCGTTACATGCAGAGATAAAGTAGAAAGATGAATGAAAAGACAATAACGACTGAAACAAACTTTTGATTATAGTCAGTGTTAACAGCTGTGCATTGTACTATTATTAGCTGTCGATACAGAGAAAATATAATATGTAATGGTCACTTGTAACAAAGGATAATTCAAAAGTCCTAAAACTTCATAGAAAAATTCCATTTTCTCTCTTATAAAAAATAATGAAAAGTTCAAAATCCAACAGGTAATCAATCGTTACTTAGATGAATATCATTCTAAATTTTATAGATGAATGTTTATTGTTATTTATTTTAAATATTTAGGATGCATCTATAAAAAAAACAATCTCCTTGTAGTCGACTTTTCGTATATTTTGCTGGTTAAAGAAACATATTCGAAGTGGAAACAAAAGATAAAAAAAATACAATCATTCTCCATATATATCATTTACTATATTATGGTCTACGAAAAAAAAATCTTCTCCGATTTGGAAGTTGCATATCTTCAGTATAATGCGAGCTACAATTATGAAAACTTACAGTAATATTCATTCAAGTAATAATTAATTATCTGCCTAATTTCGAATTTTTTTATGAAGTACTAAGACTTTTAGATCAACCTTTAAACTGTTTTACTCATTATATATTCCATTTTTTATATAAAAAATTAAATATAATGTTGCACGTTTAGTTCATAGATTAATTTTTTTAGAAACCTTGATGTATCACTGTATTTTGCTATCAATTATATATTTAAAATAAAACAGATATATAACTAGACACAAGAAGTCAAAAGCGAAGCTGCAGCAATACATACTTTGAATTTTTCTTAAAGTACTGAAATCTCATCTTGACTAGATAATGCTTAATAAAATATAGATATGTAAGTATTTTACAAGAATTCATTAGAACACTCGACGATCATCAATACTATAGGGCGACTATTAGATTATCGTACTAAACTATTTAAGATTTTAACACGTGTGTTAATCATAAGTACGCATGATATCTTCTATCTTTAATACACTTTGAATGCACTCTTAACCAATACGTTGCATAGGTGCAAATTGCTATTTATCTATCATTCTGTCATTGTTTTTACGCTTATATATACAGTCATTGAGAATGACATGCGTGTAATGAGGAAAAAAAGAAAAGGATGATACAAGGCAATCACGTTGTAAAAGTAAAAACGTTATCAATGAGCGAACAACACAATCAATATAATACATACGAAAATGAATATATTCGATCGTTACACATCATCGAATTTTTTTTTTCACCAAATGATGGTGAGTATTATATTATATAGTAATAAAAACCAAAATAAACTTTTGTAGTATTTTCTATTTAAAATTTACATATAGTAGAATCGTTTTTTACGAACATTTTCTCCAACACACAGCTTTTAAAACGGTTCTAATATGCGTGAAATAAATATTTTTATATGTTAAAATATTTATTTCGAATTAACTGATTATATCTTATAGTATTAATCAATTTGAAAATATTCTATAGATATATTTATTTTTCTAACTGTATTAGTACTTAGTTTATCTCAAATACATATTTTTGAATACTGATAAGTATCAGTTCAACCTGACTGATCATCAAAGATATTATCAACTTGATCAGTTATCATTTGAAATAGATCGTCAACGTTGCATTAATGATTTTTTAATTTCTAAAATCGAGCAATACTGTCTAGTTCCCTCTAATTAATGTTTAGAGTATACTTTCAGAAATTTCTTTTTTATTTTGCTTATTATTAATAAGAGATCGAAAGCTATTGAATGGGGTGTCTATGCTTTAGATACTAACTGCTTTACCTAAGGGTATGTATTAGAATTTCTTGCTGCGAAAATTTGTCAATGTAAATTTTCTTCAACTTATTTTTGATATATATCAGTTAGTCTTCATATTTTTTGTGTTATTATGATGATGTTTAGACTAGAGCTGTCACACTACTTATTACTCATTACTTATTATTTTATTATTTTTATTACTTTTTTGGGTTTTTTCCAACTTTGCTCGCATGAAAGAGTATCTAAATCACTATTTACAATAGATCATGATTCACATATCTTTTGATTTGGAATAAATAAGAAAAAAAAACAAAAAAGTAATAAGTAATATGACAGCCCTAGTCTAGACGAGTAAGTATAAAATGATGAAAAATATTAAAAATTCCAATGATCAAAAGAAATCAATGATGTTTTACTTTTTTTGGAAAATGTGAAGAAATATCTTGTCTGTATTTTAGATATATCAAGATTTATTAAAGTTGTACGCTGTTTGATTTTCATTCAATATATTTAGATCTTTCGATAGAAAATAATTGCTAGTCACGTTCCATTTATTACATTCAATTTCATACGTATTTAACAGATACGAATACAAATAAGATTATGAGACATAGAATAAATGTTTGTATATTACTATTTTTGTTTATTACCGTTATATTACTGTTAACGCCAACTTGTCCTGTGGTTGAAGAAAGTGTACCTATATCCCAGCCAAGCAACATTGTTATATTAATAAACAATCGTGTACCTAAATGTGCTAGTTATTTTACACGTACGATCGTCAAACGTTTATCGGTGGCAACGCATGCTTTTGCGAGTGAGAATTCTGAGAACCATTATGAATGTCGTTTGGATACTAAAAAACAAGAAGAACTTCGAAATGAATTACTTGAAAAAGCACAAAATGCACATCAACATCAGTTTATTTACACTCGACATTTTCATTTCGTGAATTTTCGTCCTGAACCCGGAGTGAATTTCCATTATATCAATCACATACGAGATCCTATTGACCAAATAGTATCGGGATATTATTACAATCGTTACATATGTATGATAACTAGTCCGACAAAAACATGTACATATTATCCACCATCAATCTATAATCTAACACTGGATGAATGCATATCTAATGGAGATCCAGCTCGATGTTTAACCAAAACCTATGGATCACCAGAATACTTAATCTACTTTTGTGGTCAGTCACCGCTATGTAGTAATATAAATCCAGGACAAACTAGTCAAGCTGCTCTTACTATGGCTAAAACAAATATTGAACGATATTATATGCATATTGGTTTAGTTGAATATCTTAAAAATTCATATGAAATCCTTGAATATCTCCAACCATCGATGTTTAAGGGTCTCGTTCATATGTATCAACAAATGAAAGATACTAATCGTACAACATCAACGCCTAAATGGTATCGTCATCAACCGAGTACTAAAACACGTGATATTCTAAAACAACTTCTTGCACCCGAATACGAACTATACGAATTCGTTCGAGAACGATTTATGCGTCAGTATTCTGATATTTTTCAGCGTCTACCTACTCATTC